TGGGGCAAGGGGAAGTGGAGCTGCAGGATGGGGAGCAGAAAGAGCCGCTGATGCCCTCTATGCGGACGGCCTTGCTCGCCAGAGTGGCAGCCACCCTGGTTGGGGTCCTCGTAGTCGTAGTTGCCGGGGGATGGTGGGGATGGAGGAGATGGAGGGGAAGGAGGAGAGGGAGGGGATGGGCCAGAGCTGGCAATGGGGTAGGATGGCTGCATGGCAATACCGCAGATACCGGCAGAGGAGACACACGCTTCATCATGATGTAACCCTGGTCACCCAGGAGGCGCCCCAGCTGTTCTTGACAATCCAGTAGTCCGAGGTGTAGCCAACAACGAGGACACCGTGGTCCAGGTTGGTGCCGCAGGGGCCGGAGAAGACACCGCTGCTGTACATCTGGAAGCTCTGCTGGTCGGCCTCAATGGCAACGGAGACGGGGCCCTTCTCGACGGCAGCGGCGAGCTGGTCCTCGTTGTTCTGGGGAACGTCCTTGTAGCCGGAGATGCTGACAGCGTGCTTGGACTCCTTGGACTTGTCGCAGACACCGTCGCGGGCGGTGTAGGGGTAGTCCTGCTCAGTGTCGAGGCCGCCGTTGGAGATGATGTACTTGAAGGCGTTGTCCATCAGACCGCCGTTGCAGCCCTGGTTGCCAAAGGAGCCAGAGCAGTCGACGAGCTGCTGCTCGGAGAGGCTGACGAGGTTGCCGGTGGCAATGGCGTGGGCGCCCTCAACGGAGCCGGTGGTGGAGAAAGACCAGCAGGAGCCGCACTGGCCCTGGTTCTTGATGGGCGTGACGGCACCCTTCTGGCGCCAGTCGACGGAGCCGGCGTTGGGGCCATCGAGCCAGACCTCCTGACGCTCGCGGCCGAGCAGCTCAGTGGGGTAAGGGCGCAGGTACAGCTGGCGGTACTCCTCGTTGGTGAGGTCGGCAAACTGGTTGACACCAACGGTGTGGGTGTGGAGGCCGCGGGCAGCCTCTGCGTTGTGGCGGGCGATGAAGGCGAGGTTGTCGGCGAAGATGGCGAAGCGGCGAGCCTCCTCCTCAGGCGACTCGTACTGCTTCTCGAAGGTGGTCTTGAACTGTGGCCACCGTAGTCAAAACACCAACACGATCATGACAAGGGTTGCGATGCGCTTGGTGAGCATCGATCGATCAAATCAAACAGCGCAGGGCACGAGCGACAAAAGAAGTTGCAAAAGCAAAAAGCAAAAGCAAGGGCATGTGAATCGCAGCAGGTGGTAGTGTTGGGTGCGCGCGCAGCTTACGTCGTCGAAAGACATGGCGTTGGCCGCGACGGCCATGGCCAGAAGGACGGCGATCTTGAGCATCATGATGGCGGGTTGGTGGGAGAAAGAAGGGGTGAAAGGAAAATGCCTCTTGTCTGTCGCTGCGCTCGCTCGCAGAACAACAACAAGCGCTGACTGGAGGAGAAACAAGAAGAAGAAGGTGCACAGCCACCGACAGACCACTTGTTTTGCTTTCTTCGCTTGCCTGCCTGCTTGTTGTGTGGCGTTGTTTTTGTTTTGGTTTTTTCTCCTCCACAACCGCGCTGTGTGAGACGGGCCCAGGTCGCGACAGCTGGAGTAGAACCCGCGTGTGTGGGAATCACGACAGAATACGAAATATCTTTGATACTTTTCCGTCTCCAAAGCACTTTGCGCGGAAAGTTGGAGGAGGGAACGCAGGCACAACAAACAAGACAACTTGCGGTGTCACCCACAAATTTCCCATGGTGCTGCAACACCACGCCACCCTCCTTGTAGCTCATCGCTTTCGTTCGCTGCATCGCTGTTTTTGTTTGTGGTGCAGTGAGCGCGGTGGCGCGATCTCCAAGAAGCAAGCACAGGCAAAATTAGGCAAAACAAGCGAGTGAGCTGCGGAGATGAGTGAGCGCCACGATGCGCAAATAACCATTTTCATCTTCACACCCTCTTTTCCCCCACCAACCACAACTCATCAACCATGATGCTGAAGCTGGTGCTGGTGTGCGCCCTCGTGGGTGCCGCCATGGCTGAGCCCCTCTCCCTCACCGTCAACAAGGGTCGTCTCTTCGACGCCTTCAAGACCAAGTTCAACAAGGTCTACGAGTCCGCCGAGGAGGAGGCTCGCCGCTTCTCCGTCTTCTCCCAGAACATCGACTTCATCAACCGCCACAACGCCGAGGCTGCCCGTGGCGTGCACACCCACACCGTCGACGTCAACCAGTTTGCTGACCTCACCAACGAAGAGTACCGCCAGCTGTACCTGCGCCCTTACCCCACTGAGCTGCTCGGCCGCGAGCGCCAGGAGGTCTGGCTCGATGGCCCCAACGCCGGCTCCGTCGACTGGCGCCAGAAGGGTGCCGTCACCCCCATCAAGAACCAGGGCCAGTGCGGCTCCTGCTGGTCTTTCTCCACCACCGGCTCCGTTGAGGGCGCCCACGCCATTGCCACCGGCAACCTCGTCAGCCTCTCCGAGCAGCAGCTCGTCGACTGCTCTGGCTCCTTTGGCAACCAGGGCTGCAACGGCGGTCTGATGGACAACGCCTTCAAGTACATCATCTCCAACGGCGGCCTCGACACTGAGCAGGACTACCCCTACACCGCCCGCGACGGTGTCTGCGACAAGTCCAAGGAGTCCAAGCACGCTGTCAGCATCTCCGGCTACAAGGACGTTCCCCAGAACAACGAGGACCAGCTCGCCGCTGCCGTCGAGAAGGGCCCCGTCTCCGTTGCCATTGAGGCCGACCAGCAGAGCTTCCAGATGTACAGCAGCGGTGTCTTCTCCGGCCCCTGCGGCACCAACCTGGACCACGGTGTCCTCGTTGTTGGCTACACCTCGGACTACTGGATTGTCAAGAACAGCTGGGGCGCCTCCTGGGGTGACCAGGGTTACATCATGATGAAGCGTGGTGTCTCCTCTGCCGGTATCTGCGGTATTGCCATGCAGCCATCCTACCCCATTGCCAGCTCTGGCCCATCCCCTCCCTCCCCTCCATCTCCTCCATCCCCACCATCCCCCGGCAACTACGACTACGAGGACCCCAACCAGGGTGGCTGCCACGCCGGTGAGGAGGCTGTCCAGATCGAGGGCATCAACGGTTCCTTCTGCTCCCCCAAGTGCAAGAACGAGATCATCGTCCGCACCTGCTCCAAGAACGTTCCCCCAGGCACCACTGCCCAGCCTGAGTGCGTCCTCGAGACCCAGGGCTCCTCCCAGCCAACCAACTGCGCTCTGATCTGCGATCCCTCCGCTGAGTCTGATGGCTGCCCCCAGAACGCCTCCTGCAAGCCCATCCAGGGCACTGGCATCTGCACCTACGACTCGTAAGCTCGTTGCAGCTTGCTTTGCGCTTGCCAATTGAACTACCCTTTTGCTCGCTTGTCTTCCCTTTTGACCAGCATTAAATTCGAAATTTGATAAGTTGACACATGCAAAGCACCAACCAATCTCGTATGAGTGAATGAAGGAGGGAGAGAGATACAGACAGCGCTGCTGGCAGGGGGTGTGGGTACAATGGGCTGATTGACTCTGGTGCGCTGGTTTTGTTTATTCCAAGACCATGATCTCCTCCTCCGCTTCCTCAACAGTGGCAGTTTCGTCGTTGACGGGGCCGTGCTCGTCCACAACAAACTGCTTGACCCACTGCCGATATGTGGTCGTGTCTTGGTCGACCTGCACAATCT